TATATGGTCTCAAGCAGTCTCCTCGAGCATGGTTCAGTCGTTTCAGTTCTGCTGTTCAGGCGTTTGGCTTAATCCGCAGTAAAGTTGACCATTCTGTGTTTTATAGGATTACATCTCCTGATAAGTGTATCTATTTGTTAGTCTATGTTGACGACATCATTCTCACCGGAAGTGATCAAGACGGAATTCGTCAGTTAAAACAACATTTGTTTAGTACATTTCAAACAAAGGACCTTGGGAAGCTGCGTTACTTCTTGGGAATTGAGGTGGCGCAATCAAGACAGGGCATTTCTATCTGTCAAAGGAAATATGCCTTGGATATCCTAGAAGAAACTGGTATGTTGGGGAGTAAACCAGTTGATACACCTATGGATCCTAATGTCAAGTTATTACCCGGACAGGGGGAGCCGTTATCTGATCCTGGACGTTATCGGAGGCTAATTGGGAAGCTCAATTATCTTACTGTGACTAGGCCAGATATTTCTTTCGCTGTCAGTACGGCCAGTCAGTTCCTTGATTCCCCTTGTGATTCACATTGGGATGCTGTTGTGAGGATCCTCCGATACATCAAAGGAGCACCAGGAAAAGGTTTGTTGTATTCGGATCAGAGAAATACAGAAATTTGTGGTTACTCAGATGCCGATTGGGCAGGATCACCCTCGGACAGACGCTCTACTTCTGGTTATTGTGTCTTCTTCGGAGGAAACTTAATCTCATGGAAAAGCAAGAAACAACCTGTTGTTTCCCGATCTAGTGCAGAAGTTGAGTATCGTGCAATGGCAAATACTACCTGTGAGTTGATCTGGTTAAAGCAGTTGATTCAGGAGCTTCATCTTTGTGAACAGAAACAACCCATGACACTCATCTGTGATAATCAAGCTGCGCTACATATATCCTCTAATCCTGTTTTTCATGAGAGGACCAAACATATAGAGATTGATTGTCACTTCATTCGGGAAAAGATTCAGTCAGGAGAAATCAAGACAGCTTTTGTCAACTCGTCTAATCAACTAGCAGATGTTTTCACTAAAGCTCTTAGAGGTCCTCGGGTTGAACACATTTGTAACAAGCTTGGTGCTCATAATATATACGCACCAGCTTGAGGGGGAGTGTTAGAATATTAGATATGATATGATTTGATTTGATTAGATATGATTGGATTCTGTCTTATCCGTAAATAGTCTGACTGTATTATGACTGTATTAGGATTAGGTTTGGATTAGGTTTGGATTAGGTTTGGGCCTTACACTTAAGCCCGTTAGGGTCTCTATATATTGTAACTCCTTGACACAGATCAATACACAACGTATTCTTTTACATTTAACTGTGGTAATAAGGAACTCTTTTCATCCCTTACATATTCTGATAATTTACCCTCTTTTACTCTTGTTGATGGCACTAAGGCCCCTATTCATGGGATTGGACAAATTTGTTCAACCTCCTCATTGACCTTGACATCTGTCTATTACATTCCTGACATCCCTTATAATTTAATATGTGTTAGTAAATTGATCAACTCTCTTAACTGTATTGTCACCTTCTCAAACCATTCTGTTTCTGTGCAGGATCCGGGTACGGGGAAGACGATTGGAGTGGGCCGTGAGTCACGAGGTCTGTTCTACCTGGTTGTGTCGAGTCCTTCAGTTGCTTGTTCTCTCACAGAATCTCCACAACTCATCCACAGTCGCCTCGGGCATCCTAGTCTTTCAAAATTGCAAAAGATGGTTCCTTTTTTATCCGGTCTTCAGACTTTAGATTGTCAATCATGTCAGCAAGGGAAGCACATACGCTCCTCCTTTACTAATCGAGTCAATAAACGAGTTGATGCTCCTTTTTCAATTATTCATTCAGATATTTGGGGTCCTAGTCATAGTGTGTCTGTTTTAGGTTTTCGGTATTTTGTTACCTTTATTGATGATTTTTCACGTTGTACTTGGATTTATTTAATGAAAAACCGTTCTGAGTTATTTTCTATTTATCAAAAAAATTCTGCTGAAATTCATACTCAATTTGGTGCTTCTATTCGTATTTTACGTAGTGCTAATGCTAAGGAATATGTTTCTGTTGACTTTTCTAATTTCTTAGCCACACAGAGTACTTTACATCAAATTACTTGTCCTCACACTCCACACAAAAATGGAGTAGCTGAACGTAAAAATAGACATCTCATTGAGACTGCACGGACTCTTCTTATTCACATGCATGTTCCTCTTCACTTCTGGGCCGGTGCAGTCCTTGCCTCTTGTTTTCTCATCAATCGTATGCCTTCATCTGTGCTTAATAATGACATTCCTTATAACTTATTGCTTCCAGATGTTCCTCTCTATCCTCTATCCCCACATGTCTTTGGTTGTACCTGTTTTGTTCATGATCTCACTCCTGGTAAGGACAAGTTAACATCCAAAGCCTTTAAATGTATTTTTCTTGGTTAATCTCGTCTTCAAAAGGGTTATCGTTGTTATTCTCCCGATCTTAAGCATTACTTTGTTTCCGCTGATGTCACTTTTCTTGATCAACAACCCTTTAATTCTATCCCATCTTAATTGTCACAGGTTGATCATGTTCTTCCTGTTCTTTTTCTTGACTTGTCTTCGCCAGCTGCAGGTGCTTCTATTCCAGATGAGCAACCTATTGCTTCCATACCTGAGGACCGTCCACTTCTCACCTATCAGCGTCGCAAAACTGTCCTCCTGTCGACTCGACTCTTGCTGACTCATCGCCCGCTGCTGTTGATTCTTCCCCTCCGGCTCCTTCACCAGATGCTCTTCCCATTGCTCAAAGAAAAGGTACACGTACTACTCGTAACCCGTATCCTCTTTATACCTTTTTGAGCTATGACCGTCTTTCTCCACCTCATTTCACCTTTGTTTCTAGTCTTTCTTCTGTTTCTATTCCTAAGACCACAGGTGAAACACTTTCCCATCCAGGGTGGCGCCAAGCGATGCTTGATGAGATGACTGCACTTCATTCCGGACCTTGTTTCTGCTCCTCCAGAGAAGTCTATAGTTGGTTGTCGCTGGATTTTTACTATGAAAGTTGGACCTGATGGCCATGTTGATCGACTCAAGGCACGCCTAGTTGCAAAGGGTTTTACTCAAATCTTTGGCCTTGATTATAGCGATACATTCTCTCCAATCGCTAAGATGGCGTCAGTTCGCCTATTTCTTGCTCTTGCTGCTGTTCTTCATTGGCCACTCCTTCAACTTGACATCAAAAATTCCTTTCTTCATGGTGATTTACAAGAAGTTTACATGGAGCAACCACCTGGTTTTGTTGCTCAGGGGGAGTCTGGGAAGGTGTGCCGTCTTCGCAAATCCTTATATGGTCTCAAGCAGTCTCCTCGGGCATGGTTCAGTCGTTTCAGTTCTGCTGTTCAAGCGTTTGGCTTAATTCGCAGTAAAGTTGACCATTCTGTATTTTATAGGATCACATCTCCTGATAAGTGCATCTATTTGTTAGTCTATGTCGATGACATCATTCTCACCGGGAGTGATCAAGCTGGAATTCGTCAGTTAAAACAATATTTGTTTAGTCAATTTCAAACAAAAGACCTTGGGAAGCTGCGTTACTTCTTGGGAATTGAGGTAGCACAATCTAGACAGGGCATTTCTATCTGTCAAAGGAAGTATGCCTTGGATATCCTAGAAGAGACTGGTATGTTAGGGTGTAAACCAATTGATACACCCATGGATCCCAATGTCAGGTTATTGCCCGAACAGGGGGAGCCATTATCTGATCACGGTCGTTATCGGAGGCTAATTGGGAAGCTCAATTATCTTACTGTGACTAGGCCAGACATTTCTTTCGCTGTTAGTACGGCTAGTCAGTTCCTTGATTCCCCTAGTGATTCTCATTGGGATGCTGTTGTGAGGATCCTCCGATACATCAAAGGAGCACCAGGAAAAGGTTTGTTGTATTCGGATCAGGAAAATACAGAAATTTGTGGTTATTCACATGTTGATTGGGCAGGATCACCCTCAGACAGGCGCTCTACTTCTGGCTATTGTGTCTTCTTTGCAGGAAACTTAATTTCTTGGAAGAAAAAGAAACAACCTGTTGTTGCTCGATCTAATGCAGAAGCTGAGTATCGTGCAATGGCAATTACTACATGTGAGTTAATCTGGTTAAAGCAGTTGATTCAGGAGCTTCATCTTTGTGAACAGAAACAACCCATGACACTCATTTGAGATAATCAAGTTGCGCTACATATATCCTCTAATCCTGTATTTCATGAGAGAACCAAACATATAGAGATTGATTGTCACTTCATTCGAGAAAGGATTCAGTCAGGAGAAATCAAGACAGCTTTTGTCAACTCTAATGATCAACTAGCGGATGTCTTCACTAAAGCTCTTAGAGGTCCTCGGGTTGAATACATTTGTAGCAAGCCTGGTGCTCACAATATATACGCACCAACTTGAGGGGGAGTGTTAGAATAGATATGATTAGATTTGAATAGATTACTTCCTATCTGTAAATATGCTTTTTGGATTAGATCTGGACTTCTCACTTAAGCCCATTAGGGTCTCTATATATTGTAACTCTTCGTATTAGATTAATACACAACACATTATTTTATATTCAAGTATTGAAAACCATTTTGAACTCATCCTCTATTTTCCACCTACTCAACCGAGCACACCCTAAGCTTCTGCAAAGTCCAAAATAAAAAATGGATAATGACAAATAAATGTAAGCCAAGGACATCCTCATCTTTCAGAGTGTGAGCATTCATCAGCCACAAATATCTAAATTTTCCTCATTATGCATCATGGCATAGTAAAATACCATTACTTGTTACAATTAATAAATGATATAATGTGGCATTGACATCTGTTTCATTACGTGCCAAAGGTTGCGAGATGGTAAAGTCCAGTAGCTAGAAGTATTATCTACACCCTCATTCAAGTGACAAAACAAGCACCTAGAGCGCTTATGACCAAGAGAAAAGGATAAAAACATGCACAAATCTGGTCAACAAATGAAATAGAGGAAATTACCTGGAAGATAAGACTTTTCCAACAAAAATCAAATACTGCCCATCATCAATTTCAGCATGTGCATTCTGTAGATTAGCATATGATCTTGGAAAATGGTGCAGCAATTTCCGTAACTACACGTAAAGAGTGGGTTAATGTGAATCCAAGCCATCTTTTCAAAAATGAAAATCCAAGGAACTACACATTTTCCAAAGTCCGATTTTTGAAACCCACCGTGTAAAACCCACAGTTATCTAGCTGTTGGTACTGCCTCTTACTTAATCCAAGTAAGGAATTCACAGATTTGTCAAGAAATAACTCATTGGGTGTAAGGTTTGATTGTGACAGCAGCCCTACTTTCTTTTGAGAATCCTCAGTGGTGACTTGATCCAATTTTTCTTCATATATTGAAGACATTGAATGAGGTTTCAAAGGAAAAGAACGAGAATCTTTTTCTCTTAATGCAGAAGATGTTAGACTAGAATGATTGACATACAGAGAAGGCCACCCTTCAGAGAGAGTATTTTGCACCCACCTTGCCTCAGAAGAGTCAGAAAAATACTGTTCAAAATCTTCTGTTGCTAAAATGTTGGTTGTTTCAGAATATGTTTCAGCCGCATTATACAAATCCACTTGAGGAGCACTACCCAAAGTAATTGATGGAAATCTCTTACAAATCAAGGAAATGTCTAAATCATCTAATGCATCTTTAAGACTCATTTCAGATTTCATTTCATCACTTCCATTTCCAATTAGGTCAGGAAGGTTATAATCCATAAGAGCAAATACCTGCAAGCATAATAAATTTCAATCAAAGTTACCTTTATATGGGAAGTCATAAAGCATTTATAAAAGAATCATCAAAATATATCTTATCTGGTCAAATATTTGTAGCAGTCTACTAAAAAAATGATAATATTTGTAGCAGTCTACTAAAAAAATGATGTCCAAATGCAATCTAACAATGATATGTTGTGTGTGTGTGTGTGGAATGAAGAATAAGCACGTGAACTTCCAAGGACAGGTCATGCCATAACACATTCAGTACCAATATTCAATCTACATCACAAACCTCAAAACCCAACCCAATTTATCACTTAACATCAAAGTGAACTTGCAGAACTTGTAAACTGCCAATTAAACAGCCTCCTTTTGCATTTTGAAGCAATGAATTAAGCAAATTTTTCCCAGCCCCTCTTAATTGGTTTTCACTGAATTACATACTATGATAACCACAAATCTCTTTTTATTCCTATTTTTTCCCTTTCTTTTCAATAAGAGAAGTTTCATTGATTGGACCACAAGAATTGTCCAGCTACAACAAACTTTTCCGCACTTCACAAGCTCAATTGAGAAGCACAACCAATCTGCTATAGGCTGCAAATGAGTCAAGCTCATCATAGAGAACTCTATTCATGCTTGAATCACAACCCCTACATCATAGTTGGAGCTCAAGTCAAGAACAATAACAGTCTTTACTCAGATTGGCAGGCAACCTAGGTCTAAACTAGATTACTTACTCTCAACATCAGGTAGGACAACACCAAACAAATTAAAGCCCACATTTCTGCGAACAAAAATTAGCATTGTTTTTCTTTCTGTAATCATACAGGAGTTTTATAGTATAGAACATTAAAATAATAACAGTCACATTTCTCATTAAAGCATCGACAAGCATCGAACAGCCCAAATTCTTATCAATTCACAATGAATAAGACGGCATTGAGAATCTACAGAGGCCATCTTACTTTTTACAACCTAGTCATCCATTTCATTAACTTTTTTTTACTAATTGAAGAAATTTAAATTGATTGAGTGTTCTATTTGACAGTCATAAAATAATCAAATTATATCATCCATAATGGTCCAATACACTGGAACGGTAAAACTTTAGCGTCAAAAATTTAAAACAGTTCAGGAAGACATGAACTGAAGTTCTGAACTTTAAACTTTCCTTTTTATAATGGAAACCAAAAATATTTGGAAAGTCAAAAACAAAATAAATCACATCAAACACAGTAAAAAGCTTCACCCAAATTCACAGATACCAGTGTACACAAGCATTCATCTACCTTATTATGCAACTTTGAACCGCGTCTTACACCATATCCATCTATTTCCACAAACTTCTCTGCTAACTTATGCTTTAGTCGATAACACACTTTTGAGAATTTTAAAGGAAGAAAATTACTACACCTGCAAAAAATATTGAAACATCAAGCCCATGTATCCTCATCTGTCATTATCATCACTTATCATAAGCCTAAGCTTAAAATTAGAATAACGGACGATACCTCATTTTTCTACATAAAAAGGCCAAATATCCTCCCTTGCCTTGAAAGACTATAACACTCCTCAGCTGCTTGCCACTAAAAGACTGAAAAGACTAGAGTTACTTCAGGAAACAGGAAGTTCAAAGAAATGAAGTAAAAAGCTAGAGGGCAAGTATATAAAAGGCCATCTTGTCCAAATACAGCAGTATAATATCATTACAAGCTAATTGCCAAGGTTAAAAACATATCAAGATCATAAATAAACAAATAAAGGAAGAGATACATCAAAAAGAAATATTGCAATATTAAATTATAAATCCAGCAAGATAAAATAATAATAATAATTAAGAGATTCAGCTCTTTTTCATCCAAACACGCTAAAATATAAGAAAAGTAGTTAGGAAAATAAACGATGTTTTTTATCAAGAAAAGCATATCCAAACGAGCATCTAAGAATTAAACAATAAATATAGCAGGTTAATATGAACTGGTTCATATTTATATTTAAAAGTGCTAGGGTCTAAACCAAACAATTCAATATAATATTTAATGAAATGCTTGGATGGAGGGTTTTGGAGGGAATGGAAAGTGAGGGTAAAGTTTTTATTTTTGAATTAAGAGAGTTATATATATAGTTTTTATAAGAATGATTGGAAGTGAAAGGTGTCATCATAATCTATTATTTTATTCCTTTTACTATACGAGATTCATAAATTAAAGAATATTTGCTTGAAATAAAAAAAAAATCCCTTCGTTCTATTTTCCTCCAAAACCCTCGGTCCAAACCATACACAATGGCAATTTCACAAAATATTATCAAATTGGGGTTTCGTTCGAAAAGAGGGTTTCTAATCAGTGGAGAAGATTGAACAGAAAAACCGAAAAAGGGAACACCACAAGCTCAGCAGCAGCTCAAGCAGTGGAATTACTCATAAGGGTAGATAATAAAAAGGACAAAGATTTCTGTGTTGAAATGGCCTCTAGAATTGTGATTTTTGAGTACGGGTTTATAGCTTCAAAAGTGACACTTTCATAGGAAGAACAGAGGTTAGCTCAGAATCCCAATGCGCAACACGGAAATTACCATTGTAATGTTGTCGTCGGAGGCGTCGCTTCAAAGGTGAGTGTCGGAGCTGGCGGTGGACGGCGGTGACCGATGACGAACGGAAAGCATGAGAATCGGAGACAAAGAGGGGGATGCTTGGTCGGTCCCGTTGTAGAGGATGTGGTTTGGGTGGGGTTCTTACTCTTTTGGCAGTTGCATAGTGATAAAATAAAAATAATAATATTAATAAATAAAAAAATCAAAATTTAATTCAAGAGTGTGTATTATATTTTATTTTTAGGGTTTGCATTTATCATTTAACATGACACAACAAAGTTTTCCACACACAACATTTTGTGGGGTTCATACTTTTAAAAAAAAAAAAAAAAAAAAAATAAGGCACGCAAAACGAATCTCTATATCATTACACAATCATTATTCCTACAACATAACTCTTATAAAATCCTTTATTTTTTACGAGGGATAAGTTATTGTGCCTACTACTATTCTACCTACTTTTGTCTACCACTTTCGTTACCGTTCGATTACCATCTCATCCAACAATCCATATTTGTGATACAAAATAAACATTTTATTCCCTTTCTTTCTTCTCACTTTCTTCCATGCCCTTTCTCACTGCTCTTTCTCATCTTTTTTTACTTTTGCCTACCATTTTCAACACTGTTAGATTATAATTTCTTCCAATGGTAAAGATTAATGATATAAAATCAACCATTTTACACCATTCTCTCTCTCACTCCCTCACCTTTTTTTCTCTCCTTCCCTTTCTCTCCCCTTTCGCCGCCGCAATCATCGATTCATCAACATACTGAAATGGTTTTGATACTACGATGGTTTTGCAATTTTCGTACTGCACCCAAGCACTTTATAAATAAGAATATGTGAATCAAATAAGAATATCACATCATCATCCTCTTGCAGTTATAAATAGATTACTTTACTGCTTTTTATGTTCATCTATCCAGAACAAACAAAATTCATAATGTGTTTACCGAAAAAACAAAATTCATAATGTACATAATAAAATAAAAAATATTGTATGATTCGAAAAGACAAAAATACTGGATCACATGCTTATAATCCTTTGATCATTCCACTGTACCCGCTTGATTTGCATAAATATTGTAATCGGTAACTCCATGATCATGAAATGAATAAAATGATGTTGTCTTATTTAAATGAGTAAAATGATGTTTTCTTATTTAATGATGTCAATCTTTCTGTGCACAGAAACCCCAAATTTGTTTCAATAAAATGATGTCTTCATATTATGATTGCTGGTGCAAGCAAAGAGGAGAGAAACGAGAGGAGAGAGAAACTGCGAGGGAAGTGGGAGAGAGAATGGTGTAAAAGGGTTGATTTTATACCATTAATCTTCATCATTGGATGAGATTGTAATCTAACGGTGTTGAGAGAGGTAGGCAAAAATAGGCAAAATAACTTATCCCAAAATTAAAATAAATAAAATTTGTTTGCTTAACTTTTTTCAATTTTCTTAAGTGTTTTTTAAGGTCATTTTAAGTGCATAATATATCCTTTAATATCACATGACTTAATATAAGATGAACTTAAGGTTGTGTTTGGTTTGCGGAATATGATGAAATAGATAGGCATTGGAGAAGTGGAATTGTGTTTGACCAAGTTTGGTTGAAGAGTTTTCAATATTTGTCTATCCAAATTACTCCCCTGGCATTCCATTTTGCATGTCAATTGGACCCAAATAGATGGCTCAATATTCACATTTCAGATGTCGTATTGGAGGTTGCCTAGCTAAATGGAGATATGGGGCTAAATGGAGACATGGAGACAACACCCAAAGATGACGAACATACCCTCAGTAAAGGTAAAGGGTAGCATTGGTGATTCAATTTTTTTTTAAAACAAGGTTATTTTGGTAATTGTAACTTATTTTCCCATCAATATTTTACCTCAAACCAAACATAGACTTTATAAAATTTACCTGATTTCCCCGATAAATTTTTTTTCAACCAAACAACTTTTTTTACATTTTCCTACCAAACTCATTTTCCAATCATTTCCCTACTATTCAAAAAATTTCTCCTCAACCAAACGCCCCCTAACTATGTATAAACAAATTAATGGTGATAAGTGTTAAGAACCTTGGGATACACCACCCCAAAAGCTAGCTCAAAGGGTGAGAGTGTCCAAGGCCTTATAAAGGCCACATTAGTTGCACATACAACCAATGTGAGACTATATATATCTCAACACGCCCCCTCACACAAGAGCCCATTGGGCTTGAAGAGTGGACAATGCAACAGGCCCAGTCTACCTGTGCTAAGAAACTCCACAAGAGAAAGTGAGGGGCGGCGAGGCTCTGATACCATGTTAAGAACCTTGAGATACACCACCCCAAAAGCTAGCTCAAAGGGTGGGAGTGCCCAAGACCTTATAAACTTCACATTAGTTGCACATACAACCAATGTGGGACTATATATCTCAACACGCCCCCTCACACAAGAGCCCATTGGGCTTGAAGAGTGGACAATGCAACAGGCCCAGCCTACCTGTGCTAAGAGACGCCACAAGAGAAAGTGAGGGGCGGCGAGGCTCTGATACCAACTTGAAAAAGGGTATTCTAATATATTATAGAATTGTAAATAATCTGTACAAAGGGTTCTCTATTTATAGAGAATACTTGACCTAATTTTGACCTAATGGGCTTGGCCCAATACAACAAATAAATGACTAAATACTAACTAAATTATTATTATTTACAACAATAAGAGATAAGTGTTACATGATATAATCATGTTAAAAGAGACATAAGAGAGCTATAATACACTAACACTTCAAAAATCCTAACGTGTCATATTCAACATTCTCCGACACGCATTGCAGAGATTTAAAAAAAGATTCAAAGATTGCGTTACGTTGCATTTTTAGTTCCAACAACTAAATTCGTTAGATTTTGTTATCATTTTCTTGAGTTTAATATAAATATTTGGGATATCTTATGTTTTTTATAAAATTAATGGATATTATAAGTTTAGCTTCATTTTTTTTATAAATTATTGAATATTAAATATAATATATATTACATAGATTAAAAATATTATTTAATATCAAAAAGTATCTTAATATGTCGGTATCAGTGCAACGGAGTCCATTCCGATTTATATGCTTTATAAGGCTAGTTGTGCATATAGCAACATAAATGAGTTTAGGATTACTTACGAAATTGTTTAACCAAGAACCTGTACAAATTACTATCAAATATTTAACAAACTTGTTTAAATGCAAGTTTAAATGCCTCTTTTCATTTAATTTGCAAGTTAGAGCTATCAAAAATAAAAATTGCAAGTTAAATAGGTTGGGATATTTGACTTCTTGTATAAGCTTCGTTCATATAATTTATGTGGGAAATTATATTTGTCGCTAGTTTAAGCTTATCGTTTTTACTAATAGTAATCAAATAAACAATAAAAGTGGTAAGATGAAAAGTATAATTCGTTATTGAGGTTGCTAGTTGGTGTTTGTTTCTATTTTGGAGTCTTATTCTTAAGTTTATAGTTTAAGAAAGCAAAAGCAAAAAGAAAAAGAAAAAAAAATGTTGCAAGGTCACTACCCAGCTCGTCAACTTGTAGGCTAAAAAGTACTTGACACATATTTCAACAAGAATGGATCCTCATGCAACATCAGATTATGTGATACAATATCAATCGTTCACAAACAAGTCACTGGTTATAAAAAATGCATTAAGATAGAGTGTTTTGAAACCTTAACCATTGATTTACCTATAAATAGTTAAGTTCATCTCACATGACTTCAAATAAAAAATGATAATCCATTATTTTTCACCGTTTCTTCGACCCTTCAACTAATTTCATTAGAGCCAAGTAAAACCAATAGAGTGGAAAAGCTCTCCCAACCATATTTTTAACATAATTACATACTTTGGACTCGAGTTGACTCAATCATATTCCTTTAGTTACACATGATAAAAGTCAAAGAAAAAGTGAATGAAACCTTCTGGAACATCTCTTCTAATTTGCCAAGTTAAAAGAAAGAAATTGTGGTCTATTTTTTTATTTTATTTTTCATTATTATCCTTGAGCAATCTAGGTTTCGAATAGGTTAATCCAACCACAACATGAAAGTTTGTTCTATGGTGGGAACCACGTTGAAATGAACTGCATCATTTTAATTTGAAGCAAAAACCACGGCTTGGATTTAATAAGGGATATTGATTGTCTATAGCCTCTCTTTGGTGCTCTTCACATTTTTTAAGGAAAGACTCCTTGAAAAATATGCTAAAAGATAATTTTCATCATTTCTCTTGTATCCTTTGATAAAAATATATCACAAAAAATGCAATATGTTGAAGCTTGATCTTGATTATAACTATTTAGAAATTGAGTTTCTCTCTTTTTTTAAATACATATGTTTAGTTTTATCATAATTGTTAGAAAATATATAAACAAAAAATAGTGTATAAAGTCTAAATTCATTATATAGGTTAACCTTGATCATATAATCATGATAATAAAGATTCATATTTATGTGATTTTTGTATTCAAAAAAAAAAAAAAAGGATTCATCTGATCTTTGTATATATCATTTGTCATTTATCATACACCCAAAGTGATCATCTCAAAATAGGCTCAAATTTGATTAGACGCATAGAATCGGCCTTACGAGGAAAGCTCATTGTGGCATAAGTCTCTGCATTTTTCGAACTTTTGGAATTGTTTTCATTAAATTTTCAATTTTTTATTTATTTTATTTTTCTATTTTATAGAGACAGTTTTGTAATTTTTGTTATTTTTATTTTCATTGTTTATTTAAGGACAACATAAATCCTAGTTTATTTGAGTCTCGAAGGGGGATGGAAACACATACGAACTCTTGCATGAAAACGGAAAAATAGATATAACTCCAGTTATTTCAAAAATGGTAAGATCTTTGGCACAAGAATGCAAGAAGAGGGGTTGATCCGTATCATCTTGACTTAGTTCTGATTTCTCTATTTTTAAGAATACTGAGTCGGGTTCTTCTCCTACTCGTATCGAATAGAATATGCTAAGTCAAATCTATGAAAAACTTGCCTTGTATATATCAGGAAAATCATATGGTTTTATGAAATCACGTGCTATTGCTCGAATCCGTAGTCAATCTTATTTTCGATAGAAGCAATTGACAATTGAATCTTGTTTTTCCCATTATTTTCATATATGCAATAGTGTGAAAAAAAGGTCTGACTCCAAGTTGTTTAAGAAAAATGGCATTGAGAGAGGTATTAAACGAGCCATGGGCGGCTCGTGTAGGCCAAGCTTGGTCTGTGTGTTTTGGTTTTTGGATCCAGACTTAGACTTTATAAAAACTTATTTAATAAAAAGGCCTTAGGCTTCAATTTAAAAGTCCGGCCTTAGCCTGTCAGGCTGACTTACTAACTCTTTTTTATTTTATATTTTTTATACTAACCTAATTTTCACTCTCATCGTCGTGCCCAGCTAACTCAAGCCATCAAGCAACCGTTCTCCGTCATTCTCTTCGTCGAAGCCATCTCCAAGCACTTCGCCTTTCTCTCTTGTTGAAGGTCTCTCTTCGTCGGATCCTTCAAGAATGTTGTCGCTCGGAATTGCGACATCCTCGCCAATCAACAGTGTCTGATTTACAAGGGTTGGATCCTCAAGGACGATCAACCCCTCCAAAGCTACGGTATATGTACAATCTTGCTATTATTGATATATTTTTGCATAATGTTAACTCTGATTTGTTTGCAGAGGTGATTTAGCGTTTTTCGATTCCTATTTTGTTGGCGTTGTTCATTTTTCAATTCATGTTTTGCTGGCACTGTTCATTATGGAATTATTAGTGTTGTTGATCGTATATTATGTTTGAATAAATTTTTGTTATTTTTTTTTTAACGAGCTAAGTCAGGCTTTTATTGTTTGTAAATAAGTCAGATCACAGGCCGATAATTATATTCATAACAGGTTACAGGTTAAGCCAATCTGACATATTTAAACACAGACTTAGCCTTTCAAGACCAAAGCCCGGCCTGGGTCGGCCCGTTAACACCCCTAGCGTTGAGTTTCTCGGCCCTTTGCCTTAGGATTAGTCAGTTCTATTTCTCGATGGGGGCAAAGGAAGAGATATAACTCAACAATAGAATGTCACCTTGATGTAGTGGAAATCATCAGTTCAAGTCTAATTATCCCTCAACCCAATGTGCTTTTTTCTATTTGGATGTCGTGATCAAATGAGAATTAAGAATGGATAAGAGGCTCGTAGGATTGACGGGAGCGGGGGGGTGGCTATATTTCTGGGAGCGAACTTCAAGCGAATATGAAGCAAATGGATACAAGTTATCCTTAGAATGAAAGAGAATTTCAAATTAGCTTTTTCTACGAACAAAGAAGCTATAAGTAATGCAACTAGGAATCTCATGGATACTTCAATCCTTGCTTAAGATGAACGTTGGCGGCAAATGCTTTACATATACAAGTCAAACAGGAAATGGTGTTTCCAATGGCGGATAGGTGAGTAATACGTAAGAAACTGCCCTTGGTAGGGGAACAATAACTGTAAACGGCTGCTAATATCTCGTAGGCTAAGGAGCAAAAGAAGAAATCCGCCTGAGGAAAGGCTCGCGTCTGATTAGCTAGTTGGTGAGGCAACAGTTTACCAAGACATTGATCTATAGCTGGTGCAAGAGGATGATCAACCACAACGGGACTGAGACAGAGTCCAGACTCCTACATTCTATTCAGCTAAATTTGGATATGCTTCGGGTATTAATCTGTTTTATTAACCTTCCTTTTTTAAAAAATCCTACACTTTACCGGCACACAAGGAACGCCCCCAATCTTAATCCATTCTGCTCAGAGTCAGGTGCACCTCAATTTCGATTCTTGAACATTACATCCAAATGTACTTTGCTGCAATGTCACCAAGAATCTTGTCCTAAAAAAAGTATATATTCCATAAGCTCAAACGTTGTAAAAGCCGCATAAAGTGAAGCAAAGTTGAAATTCCTCAATCATAATATCATTTTGAAGATCCTGTTATAAATAAAAATTGACCCTGATGCTTCAGCACTAAGTCATGATCACTATTCTGTAGCACGATGCTTCCTACTTTATTGAACAGTTCCATACACGTTCACAATCATCCTTGCAGCAAGGTTTAGAAAAGAAATTGGGCATATGCACATATCTTATTATTACAAGGCAAGTACCTAATAGGCAGTTCTAACTATCATCCATTTACAAATAGTTGAGTTCTATCCAAACTCAGTGAGTGAAATTAGATAAGAAATCGGATTGAACTACAATGCACACTCATAACAACATTCACCACTTTGTGGATTTACATTTGGCAGATATTGCATTCCCTTGAAAGTAAGGCTTGAAGGTTCTTATAACTTCTTCATAGGTTGGTCTTTTGTAGTCCACTGCCTGTAATCAGTTATCAGCAATTAGTTTTTCAAATGGAGAAGAAAATGAATATACTTTTTTCAAATCAAGGTTTACCAACTAACCTGCTCAATAACTTCTTCAGGGTTTGCCCATTTCCACTCTGCAAATTCTGGGTCTGCTTCTCCATTAGCTAAGTTGATTTCACTGTCATCTTTTGTTAATTTCATGAGAAACCTATCAAATGGTCATAATCAATTTCAGAAAAGCAGAGTTTTGGTAGAATATCCATATAAAAATACTCAGTTAAAGTACTAGCAAGAAATACAGGCTTTGTTAACAGTACAATCATAGAACTGGATAATTAAGAAAACTCCCATTCTCACTACTGAAAGGTAGAAAGTTTTGGACACTATCCACTTGCAAGTTATGCCATATTTTAATCTAACTTGGCATGTCAAAAGTCAACAGGAGCAGCCATCCTGAGTAGTGACAGGCCTATGGGGAAAGTGGATGATTTTCTCTATCCACATTGAAGTTCACAATTGACAAAACAGGCACCAAACATGGTAAATCCAGATCAAACAACCACCATGCACACAAATAACAAAAATGCACAAAACATGAACACCAAATTTTACTAGAAAAAAGCTCAAGGCAAACTCCATATACAATGGCTTCTAGTTTTACTGTTTTCCATCACTCTGTTGGAAATGGTACGAGGGAGCCCAAAACTTTAAGGCTGCTTGCACAAAATTAGAATATGTGGTCATGATTCTTCACTTTCTTTTTTACAACTCTATTCCCTCACGTGTTTAACTCTCAACCTGGCTCTTGATACCAGAGTTAAGAATGGTACGGGGGAGCTCAAAACCCTTATAAGGATTCTTCCACTAATGACCCAAGCGATAAACCACAATAAATGAGCTGACACCACATCTCAACTCAAAATCTTAAGGCTGTAGGTTTATGAATCTTTTACACTTATATGGTCCTCAATTGGTCTAAGTCTAGACTGTGAGATTTATTTCACCACTACTCACTCACACTTGATTATTTCCAACACACTCACACTCAGGCTTTCCATTTGCCTTTTATTGGCTTCCGTTGGGTCAATTGTTGAAGAGCATTCCCTTTTACAATTGCTTACACCTGCTTCTGCCAAAGAGAAAACTCTCAAGTTAAACTTTCAGGCTTCAAATTCAGAATTTCCATTATCCATCCGTTTTTTCTTTTCATTTTACAAGGTCAGGTAGACCAACCATCCATCTTTCTTTCTACACAGTCAAGCTAACATATTAGCACCTATGAAAGTTGTACAAGATTTCTTCAGACACTCATCCGGCTTCCAATTGCATAATGTTTTTTTGCTTGCAAACCCTATTTTGAATTTGAACTTGACATTGACTGCTCAATCAACCCTAACATTGATGCATCCTGATCCTCATATTGGTTCATTTACTTAAAACAAAATGGGAAAGGTACACTTTCCTTTCTGTTCAGCAAACCTAATATGAATCATACTTCAATAGATTCATTACTTTTTTTTACGCCTTTCTTATACATTTGTTGATGACTTGATGTATTTTGCCATGACTTTACTAGATCTATACCGCAATTGACCATATTACAAGGGAAATAAATAGAGAATGAAAAATGATCACATGATATAAATATAAAGAAGGTAAAGCAGATCTTGACGACTGACAATGACAGAAATAAAAAATGGATAACTTAAAAAAACCAAAAGTTGTATTGACCAATTTTATAACGTCCACTTTAATACAGACCAAATTGATTTATTTCCTTCAACCAGCTAAAATGCTTTCAGGATTATCACTGTGGGGTGTATTTCAGCAGGGAACACAGGCCTCAGGGGGAATAAGTCACGTATATAACATCGTACAAATAGGCCAAATTTTAGATATAGAGATAAAATCTTCATAAGTTAGCATGTTCTATCTAAAGTGTTCAGTGTGTGGCTATAAGAAGCAAATAAAATAAAATTCACACCACTTTTGTGCCTGTCCATGCCATTCACCTCCCCAGAGACGATTGACTTTAGCCTTCACAGCAGGAGGGAAGTCATATGTCAACCATTTCTGAACCTGTAATGCACAAGCTCTGTCAAATCAGAAAGATATATAAATGCTTTACATGAAACTGATTATGGTGTTCCAGTTTCTTGCTACTCAGACATTTTGTTAAACAAAGATAAAGCTACTTTGAACTCAAATAAATAACTGAATGTTGTAAGACATCACTCATCTATAGAGCTTATATTAGATATAAGCATCACATTTGCTGTTTTAGGCTTTTTTTAGAAGAAATTAAATAAACTAAATCCAAAAGAGAAAAGATTTTGCACAAACCTCTGCAATTATCTCAGCAGATACTATTCCAGTTTCTTCTTGAAGTTCCCTCATGGCAGCAGATTTAGGTTCTTCACCATCTTCAATTCCACCCTGAGACCCCAAAGAGAACAGCCAATTTTACCAGAAAATTTTGATACCATAAAAGAGGTAGAAAATAATTTACATATTACAGACAATAACAAGGGCATATTTTTGAATAATCCTACAGAGATATAGTACATAATGTGAGCTCACCTGAGGCATTTGCCATGCTCCTGGAACATTCAATCTAGAAGCCACAAAAATCTGACAAACAAAATCAAAATCAAAATCATGCAACAAAAGGACTATACTATGGTGGAAAGCAAACAAAATATATGACATTCGAACCATCTTCCTCTCCAACTCATAACACAGTTTGTCCATTTAAAATTACAGAATATAGGTGCTGAACAAATCATTGAGCAACAAGTCAAAAATTCTAAAATATACACACAATCTAAAAATCATAGAACCTCAAATCCAAATTACCAGTTGACTAGTGAGTATTTGCAACATTTTGGATAAGCTCAAACGTGGAAAGCAGCACATTTAAAAATGCTCACCAATTGCAGCAAGTGTTTGAACTTTGAATGAAAACAGAACAGAGGATAAGATCTAAGCTCAGCCTGGAATTAACTCCAGTTTTTCAAATCTAGACAAGGAAAACACTTTGCTAACAAAAAGGGGAGAGAAAAAAAAATCAACTACGGAGTTTATTTAAGTTGTGTCCTTATTTATTCAAGTTGGTTGATTTAGATATAAGCAAATTTTGTCCTAACAGCTAAAGAAGAATCAATCTTAACCGGTGAATTAAAAGAGACAAATTGACATCAAAAAATTGGAAAACACCCCAAAAAAAACAAAACATAACAAAACAAAACAAAAAAACAAAAAACAACTCAAATTTTCAGCTTTTTAGCCGTTAAAATTATGCAACTTTGCTAGAAACGAAAATCCACAAAAAATAAAAGAACCCCACCTGAATATAACACGAATAAGATCAAGAAGACTCAACTGTTACCCAAAATTGAAAATACTAAGAAACAATAATAAACAAAATTTTACCCCAAAAAAAAAAAAAAAAAAACACTACATTTATACTTGGAGTAAAGAAAAACAAAATAAAACCAAAACCAAAACTCAGATTCCTATTAATTGAGCAAGACAAAAGAGAGAGAGAGAGAGAGAGAGAGAGAGAGAGAGAGTCACAGAAACCTGATCATCTGAGTTGATGAGACAGACACCAACGTTAGGACGATAACCTTGGGGAAGATCCTCCATGACTTTTGGCTTTGATGATGTTACAATAGAAGTAAAAGACTAAAAAGCGAGAGAAGAAGCTTTGTTTGTTTCACAGGGAAACAGTGTGAATGTTTGAGATGAGATTGTTGTTTTGAGAAATTCGAAAGAGAAAAAAAAAAGGACAAAGAAGAAGTGGCAAGTGGGTGTTGTGCTGTGTCTGTGTGCTGTTGTGTGTGTGTGTGAGTGCGTTAAGGATTTGGTGTTGGGGAATGAGTGATGCACGCTGACTATGACAAAAAAAAAAAAAAAAAAAGAGGTGGAGTCAGAGACACGGGAGAGTGGAGTTTTGTTACTCTTACGCTACGCTACGCACTCTCTACCAATTCATTTTTATTCTTCACTCGGCTATGATACAATGATCCTCTCTCCATCAAAATTCATATGAGCCTCCCCTTCTAGTCAAACTACATTTACGTTAAGAATGACGTACACCTAACTCTTTTTTATCATAATTCTTTTTTTAGAAGAATATTGTAACAACTAAGTTGTGTTACTACCATGTTACTAACAATCAATCTCACCGTTATATTTATTTTTTATCTTTTTATGGTTATGATTCTCCCTATTTAAAGTGAAAATTTTAAATATGAGAAATCATAACCATACAAAAAGTAGAAATAAATATAAAATATTAAATTTGAGAAATCATGACCATACAAAGATGGAAATAAATATAGCTGTTGGATCAACATAATTGATCTAACGGTGAGATTGATTAGTAATAACATAGTAGTAACACAATTTGGTTGTTATAATATCCTTTCCTTTTTTTATCGTAATGTTATTTTTGTTATACAAATCACATTCACTTTAGGAAATAAAGTTATTTTTATTTTGCAATAGAAATTATTCTCTCTTTTTTATATAAGGATTCATCGGTTACTAAATTAATTAAGTTCAAGTATGATCACATTTTATTATTTCCTATCAAGTTTTAACATAACAGTATATTATTAATTGATTTGTGTGCTTGCTGCTCCATGATTTCAACATGGAAATTTAATTTATTAAACCAAAAAGTTTAAAGAAATGTATAATTTTGTTAAAAAGGTAAAATAATATATAAATTAAAAGAAATTAATATATATTTTTATTTATTTAAAACTAATGTATTAGGTTCAAAACTATTGATAATGACACATTAATTATAGCTACTAGCACTTAATGCGTTGTCATATGAAAAAGGTTTCACATCATTTATTTCAGGAGATTTGGAGATCTTGTTATTTTTTAAGGTCAAACAATAAATTGATTTAAGAAAACGGATATCTCAATTCTCAAATCTGCCACGACGAGGCAAGGATGTATGAGGAATTTAAAAGTCAAACTCTCTAAATTTATTTATAAAAGTAATAAATTTAGAGATTTGGATAAACTTATTAAAAAAAACATAAAAAAAAAATAAAAATGCAGAATAAAAAATGGAGAGAACACCAAAATGCTATGAGGGAAATAGTTGAAGGAGAAGTTACTTTCCTAAACACTATGATATTGATGTAGCAATATAAAATAAAATAGAATAATAATATAAAATTATTAATTATTTGTATATCACTCTTTGACAATCACAAATTCACAACATGCATTTAATTATTAATATATCCAACGACAACAACGTCAAAATACACACTTTACTAACGGGTGTGTGACCGCACAGCACACAAAGCAATTCCAATATTCGTTATATCATCAATGATTAGAGAGAGCTCACTGGCGATAAGATAAGGTCAAACGCATTGTATAGAAACTAACATGGAGAGGGAAGGCGCAAGATAGCAAAATGTGCGCCGATGGTGACGCAGTCAATGAGAAGAACACGCGGAAAGATGATAGGAAATATCACTAACCAACAAATCAAGCAAATAAAAAAAGCAATGGGCCCCACCACCGAAGGCGTTGACTTTCAGTGGCTCAGATTCTGGAATTGGATCGAAGCATGATTTCATCATTTTTTTTTTCCTTTTTTTTTTTCCTTTTTCTTTTGAGGGACTGTACGATAAAGGAAGGAAGGTTAATTAAGGTAACATGTAAAGGCAAAACCAACAAAATTCAATTCAACTCCAGCGCGTAGGATGCACGTGAGATTTTTTTTTTTATTTTCTGAATACTTACAATTTCAATTTGATGTGTCATGTTATAGCACAGACAAAACATGAAAGATATCAAAAAAGATTTTCCCAATTTATATCTTTGTATTCATTAATTTGTCTCCTTCCTTCTTTTCTTACTTCAATGATGAGCCATCATTTTAAAAGATGCTTTAATTTACTGTATAAAGTTTTTTTCTGTATTATTACCAAATACTATTATCAATAAAAAAATTACTTTTTTTTTTTTGGTAAGCAAAAATTTATTCTTTTAAATTGCCGTTACTGTAATCAATTTTTTTAACAATAGAATAAAATTAAATAAATGATATTGTTACAAAAAAAAATATCACCCACATGTCATTTTATTTTTTTATTTTAATTATTAATATAATATTTAACATGGGATTATCCTTTTATCATAATTGTTCTCATCTTTTATATATATATATAGGGAAAAATATTTCTGCAGTTAATGCAGATAAGTTATCTGCATTTATTCTCAAAACGACGTCGTTTTGGTATTGAAATTTTAAAAAATTATAAATATAAAGACTATTATAATCCTGAAATAAATTAAAATTACAAAAATATCATGATTTCCGTTCCAAAACAACGTCGTATTGACTTACTGCAGATAAGTTATCTGCAGTAACTGCAGAAAAAGCGAACCCATATATATATAAGTGTTTCCCCTGTTATTATATATAAATTATTTCATGTAAATTTAAATTAGTTATTTTGGAGTTTGGAGAAAAATTATATTATGAATTTTGTTTTTATCTTACAATATAAATTATTATAAATATAATGTATTTTTTCCATATGAAATTTGCAAGAAATAACTTTACCTCATATGATAGGAGAAACATTAAATCATACACATTATATATATTGACAAATATAACTCAAGTATAAACTAAAGCAATTAATATTAATAAGAGAGAGATAATGCATTAAAGAATTATATCAAATGATAATAATTAGAAAAAAAATCCTCCACTAATTAAATTGTTAATGAAAAATATATTTAAGCAGAAAATTCAAAACATCTATTGATTATAAGGGTTTAATATCCACTAATTATAATTTAACAAAGAATATGTAATAATTTTTTTAATTCAAATATATCTTTTCTTAAAAATTATGGATGAAATAATGATGAATTTGATCACATACCTTTTTATTTTATAATTGATTCAGATCTTACATATATAAGATCAAGGCCCAATTGAAGTAAAACCCAAGTCACAAAGACAACATGGTCGTAAAAGGCGACATAGCCTTTAAGGCAAACTATCTCGCCATGAAGACATGAATCTCGCCAATACTTGCGCATCAAGTTTGCATAACTTAACCTGAAAGGAATTATCATTACTTGGATCAACAGTTCGGACAAGTTGGCCACCAACAGGAACCAATAAAGGGTTGGCAGCTCCAGCTTGTCGCCATGAACCATAGAATCAACTTTAAACATAGGCTTCCCATTAAGGAATAGCCTAAGAAAGATCATCCCTCTCCACCAATCAACCAAAACAACGCCTAATGAAGGACGGTGATAAACACGATGCTCAGACACTATAAATACAGAAGTCGTTGGCCCAGATATATAATCTCTTTTGAAATATTTGAATCTTTTTGAATATTAAACTGACTTGAGCATAAGAGTGCAGGTACCCCCAATAGCTCGCAAACAACTCAGTAAGGACAATCATCTCGCAACAGAGTACTTGTTTCACCTAATTCTTTGAAAAGCTAATATATGTCTTAAGAGCCTGTTATTTGGTGATTACTGTGATTATATAAAATTTAGCTAAAAAGTTATTTAAAAGTTGTTCATTTAAAAAAAAGCATATATTTCAAAAAAAAAATTATAAGAGCTTTAAAAAAAAGTTCCTCACAGGTGCTTTTGCCTTTTAATTTTTTTCTTCATTATAAAAAAAATATTTTTTATTATAAGGGCTTTTGTAAAAGGGAAAACTTTTTCTCATGTTGTATAAGAATTCAACTCTCATGTTAGTGACCCTTCGATTTGCGTGCAAAGCTTTTCTTTTCTTTTTCTTTTTTTAATAAATATGGGGCCCACCACTAGTTGAGTCACAACATGAGAAAATCAAATCCCTTTGTAAAAACATGTTTTACCTAACTTCTGCTTATAAGGAGAAGAGGAACTAAAAAAAAGAGATGATTCAAACAGGCACTAAATTCCTCTTTAGAGCTTTTAACATTTTTTTTATTCAATATAACAAAAAACTCTTTTTATAATAAGAACTTTTGTAAAAATATGTTTGACAAAGCTTCTACTTACAAAGAGTAGAGAAGTGTTAGAAGGTAAAAGAGAGAAAATAGAAAATATTGATTTCATTGATTGGTAAATTCATTTGTAAATATGGAGCTCTTATATAGAAGAGTATAACTAGAACAGAGAAAGATCTAGAATACCTCAATTAAAAATAAAATAAAATATTTATATCTCTAATACTCCCCTTAAGATGGAGGGTGAATAGCATGAACACTCCATCTTGAGAAGAAAGAAAATAAAAGCTTCACGGAACATCAACCAGAGAATCGGTAGCACAACAAATCAACTGGAATGATCATCTGTCTGAAGAGCTGTAAAGAGAAGTGCTGGAATGAACATCAACTAAGGAAGGGCCGGGATGGACATCAGCATGAACATCAGTGCTGCAACTAAAATAAAAGCCGATGGAGCCACTGTAACTGGGATAATCCGCGGACCAAGAAATAGTCGAGATAAATGCTCCCCCTGAATTGGAGACCAAAATAAAGCCAAATAATGGCAAAACTAAATACAAGCCAAATCAGACCTGAATAAAACTACAAACATATGTGGGAATAGAATCAAAGTTGCCAAATATAAGCTAGGGAAAAAAATAAAAATAAAAAGATAGAATCACTTATCCGAATAACTTCAATGGAGACTTTGGTCAAACACTTGGTACATAGAAGGCACTGGTGAGAGGTAGAGGAATATGTAAAATAGATGAAAATGCTATAAGGACTAAAGAACACAGATCTGGAAAATGAAGATGACCCGGATTTGGGAAAAATAAAAAATGGAGTCAAACCGAATCGAGAAACAATCATTAAATGACCTAAACATGGTGAAGATATGACCAAACAATGATATAGCACCAGTGAA